ATCGAACTTTATATTAAAAACGGTGGAAAGCAATTTCTTGCTCAAAAAGCATTTTTTGATAAGTTCGGAATTGATACGAATAACAAAGAAACGATGAAACTTTTCGCGCAGTCTACTGATGCTTTAAAGCACAAATTTTATCGCCTTGATTAGATTATTGCACAAAGATTATCAAACGATCTTTACACTTCTTTGGAAGCATTTTTGAATAATTTACAGGAAGAGTGCCCAGATGATCTCGTTCAATTTGATTACAATAGAGATTTTTCCGAGTTTACAATCATATATGCACCTTTTGCTGCAAAAGAATTGGTGCATAGCATTGATAACCCTCTCCACGTCGATTCCACTCATTCTTTAATTAAAGGAAAGATCCAATTGTTTGCAGTAACAATGAAAACAAGTCAAAACACAATTTTCCCCTTTTGCTATTTTTTAGTGAACCCTCAGACATCTGAAAAAATTCAAGAATGTTTGGTGAAATTCTGTGAGTTTGCGCACCTGGATCCACAGCATTGGAGCGCTGACTGTGCGCTAAACATTGCTCGCGCAATTGAGGATGGATTTCCTCTTGCGCAGCTCAGTTGGTGCGCTGTGCATGTTTTACGCGCATGTGCAAAAGTTGGAAGCTATTTTGACAATCCACAGAATTTTGAGAACTTCTATTTAGCAATGGACTTTTTGACATTACGTGCAGATGCAACGAATGCAGAAAAGCTGGCTGAAGAGTCTGATGAAACATATGAGTTCTTGACAACAATGTTAGAAGAAGAAGAACCGCGCGCTTTGAAGTATTTCGATAAACAATGGAGAAGAACCAAAGAACATTGGATGATGTTATATCGTGGAGAAGGTGATTCCACGAATAACATTGCGGAATCACACTTTCATCAATTAAAGCAAACATTTTTCTTGGGTAAGAAAAATGAGCGCATTGATGACATCGTCATAACTCTCATCACTGTTGTGATTCCAAATGCGATTATTAAGGTTCAAGTCGCTAATGTTTTGAATGAAGAAAGAGCAGTAAGAATTCTTACAAGGGCAGGTAATCAGATTGTTGAGCAAAGAGCTTCAAAACACGATGAATGTTTGAAATTAATTCAACACATTTTGGAAATTGTCGAAAGCCGAAGGATTGAACCTAATGTCCTTATTCCATCTTTGAAGGCAATATTAAATTTGGCACAAAGAAGTTTAAAGGAAGAGTAAGCAAGATTAGATAATTTGGACTTTTTTTAAAATTAATGAATAAACAGTATATTTTTGAAGTGTAAGCTTATTTACCTGAAGCTATATTACTTAATATAACATTCAAAGTATTATTGCTATTTATTGGAGAACAAATTTATGTAATTTTCACATGAAAATTGATAAATTTGTATTTCCTTATGATAATCAATTTTTGTATTTGTAGAGAGTCTCCCTGCATGATATCAAGACTTGGCTATTAGTCTTTATCCATTTTTGAAAATTGTATTGTAAATTGTAAGAATTTCCGAATACTACTACTATAAAATATAATTGCTTATCAATGTATATTCTCCCTGCATGATATCAAGACTTGGCTATTAGTCTTTATCCATTTTTGAAAATTGTATTGTAAATTGTAAGAATTTCTGAATACTACTACTATAAAATATAATTGCTTATCAATGTATATTCTCCCTGCATGATATCAAGACTTGGCTATTAGTCTTTATCCATTTTTGAAAATTGTATTGTAAATTATAAGAATTTCTGAATACTACTACTATTCTCGTTAACGAAAAAGGGGATTTGACGGAGTCAAATCCCCGCTCACAAAAAGCGGACTTTACATGTCAAATTTTAAATGCATGTAAGGTCCACTTTTATGAGTTTTAGGAAGGAATTGGAGGCCATGAGTTACTGACATTTCATCAGTATCTCATAGCCTCCAATTCCTTCGCAAAATGGGAGAAACTTTGTCCGAATAGTTTAACATTCGGACAAAGTTTCTCCCATTTTAAGAAGGAATTGGAGGGTAAGAGATATACCATATGAATGTATATCTCTTACCATCCAATTCCTTCTAGAAAGTGTCCAAACTTTGGGTTAATTGCAAACTATTAACCCAAAGTTTGGACACTTTCAAGTGGAGATGGAAGGCTTTGGGGTATATATTAATACAATATACCTCAAAGCCTTCCATCTCCACTACAAATGGGAGAAACTTTGTCCGAATAGTTTAACATTCGGACAAAGTTTCTCCCATATTTCAATGTAATTGCTACCTGTGAGGTACTGATTTGAAGTCAGTGCTTCACAGGTAGCAATATTCACAAAATTTAAAAACATTTTATCAGTTCGTTAGATAACCAGAGCCTCCTAGGTGCTGAACCAGAATCAGTGCCTAGGGGACTCTAGTTATCTATATAAATCTGAGAAACTTTGAGGAAATTGTTCGACATTTCCTCAAAGTTTCTCAGTAATTTAGTGAGGAATGTTCGTTATCGTGTAAATATTTATAATATATACATGATAACAAACATTCCCCGCTAAAAGATGTAAAATCTTATAAGAAATAATTCCAAAAGAATAACAAATTTTATATGAAACTGAACCTTATGATTTAGTGATTCAAGATCACCGCTTCATAAGATTCAGTTTCAATCTCAAGTATCTCAAAAGTAAGGCTCTATTTTTTGCCATGCAAAGTGTCACTTTTTGTCAAACCGTTTTTATCGTTTTCGTTTACAACACTATAAAATATAATTGCTTATCAATGTATATTCTCCCTGCATGATATCAAGACTTGGCTATTAGTCTTTATCCATTTTTGAAAATTGTATTGTAAATTGTAAGAATTTCCGAATACTACTACTATAAAATATAATTGCTTATCAATGTATATTCTCCCTGCATGATATCAAGACTTGGCTATAAGTCTCTATTCATTATGAGTATGACCCCATTTTTTTACAAAAAGTGCCGAATTGCAACTTTGTCCCAATCTCAATATCGAATTCAATTTTCATATTGTAAAGTATGTTGGATTGACTAAATTACGGATTTTTACAACAATATCTCACGTTTGTTATATGAGATATTGTATTCTCTACGAAAAACTTTTTCCATACCTCTTTCCATAACAAATTCAATTGCAAGAAATGATATGGCTCTGTAAACAAATACGAGCAAAATCTCATCTAGCGACTAGAATATTAAAATGAAGTAATTTTTTGTTTAAATCAATTATAAAATGAATAAAAACTTGACTTTTACTCTTCTTATTCAAGTATATTTCTAATTTAGTTCACGCCTTATCTGTGTATTGTATATATCAATTTAGAATTAATGATAATGAGGAAAATATTTTTGATTTAAAATAAGTTTTTAAAATCCGCCTTCATTTCATCACCATATGTTGTACATAAAGCGATGGCATTACAAATTATGCTTAATTTATCAGTTTAAGACTCCAAAAAAAATTCGAAAATTCAAAAATGAAATTCAAAATTTAAATGTTTCTCTTGAAAAAATCAATTTCGAAAAAAATTTGGATAATCAAAGTACTGGACAGTTAGTATACAAGTCTTGGGTATGGTGGCACTGCGTTCCACTTTACCCAATACTTGTGAATTTGACACTTTACAAAACCGTTAACGTATATTTTACAACACAAACGACAACACTAACTTAACCTTAAATATTTACAAAGCCGCCAACCACTTCACTTCACTAACGAACTCACTAATGTAAAAATAAACGTTCTCACTATCGTTCTCACTAACAACTTCACTAATGTTCTCATAAATTTTCCTCAATATCTTCATCATCAGTGTTAACCCTATTGTAGTCATACTTGAAGCCATAAACTTTCTCTAACTTCTTAACGTACAATTTACATAACTTACCTTCGTCATCGTATGGTTTAATGATATAACTATTTCTATCTTTATACACAGTCAATGAAAAGTCAACTGGTCTCGGATGTATTTGAAAGAACATGTTATGCTCAGGAAGGAAGAATAAATGTTTAAATGTATGTTTGTTATATGTTTTGATTTGTATGAGTTGCTTTTGTTCTGTCATTTACATCCAAATAAAAATTTTCAGTAAAATAAAAAAATAAACTTAAAATTAATGATATCACCACCCTCACACGTATGAAAACATAGCACAAAAATAAATTTAGGGTAGCATGTTAGATCTAACACGTTTTCTAACACGTTTTCTAACCTTGTGAATTCATTGCTTTATAACTCACTGTCGTCTGCTTTCTCCAACTCTTCTAACTTCTTCTTAAGTTCAGCAATGTTGTCCTCATGAAGTTTAATCTTTCTCAAAATTCCTTCTTTATCTAATGGTTGCTTTATCTTTCTAAACTGAACTCTACCATCCTTCATAGTATGAACGTAAAAACCTTCTGGAACCGCTCCTGATTTAATGTATTCTACCAAAAACTTTTGTTTCATTGCTTCAGTGACTTTAGTCGTCATTTCAATCAAATAAAAATTTTAATATTAAATAAAAATAACGTTATTTTTTCAGTAAGGAAACGCAGGAGTTTTACGATTTATTTGAGGAGTAGGTTCTGGTTTAAATGTTGGAGTCGGTTTTGGAGTTGACTTTTGAACAGGAGTTTGTAATTCCATAGGTTCAGGAGTTATTGAAGGTGTTGTTTGTGAAGGCGTTGGTTTTGGCGATGGTGTCGGGGTTTGTTTAACTTCAGCTACTTCAGTATTATTTACAACATTTGCTTTATTTCTTTTCAACATCATTACTGCTCCTGCTGTAGCTAGCAAACCTAGTGGGAGACCATATCTTATATAAGGACTTGACCAAATGCTATTTTTGACAGGAGCTGGTGGAACACCTAACCTTGGTGAAACTGCTCTTTGCCATTGTGCAGCTCGTAAGAAATATTCAATAGGTGCTCCATAATCGTTTGGTAAAGTTTGTTTCACAGATGGTGAAGGTTCACGAGAGCTTGATGAAGAACTCATTTATAAGCTTTAAAAATAAACGTTCATCCTTTATTCCTCACTGTCGTCAGTTGCTAAGTTATAGTCGTCAAGTCTTATTATTGGTATGCCTGACTGTCTTACTTGTATTGCAAAGCAACAATCCCTCATAAATCCAATAAGTGGCTTTGGTACATTTTCAGTTGCTAGTTCAATAGGTCCTTTAACAGACAATTTGTATGTTATTGGAGCAGTAGATGTTTGACCTTGCTGGAAGCAAAAGTCCACTTCTGTTGGAAAACCACATAAGAAATGTGTGTTGTCATAGCTATCCCATTTATGTTCCACACTACCATCATCCACCAATGACCTCATAACATCTTCATTAAATCCTATCATATCATTGTTTGTATTGCAAGCGTTCGCAACCATTTCATAAAATACAGGTCCATATGATTTTTCAGGTTCTGCAGGCATATTTCCATAAGCTCCCATGGAAAGCTGAAGATATTTAAACTTAGGGTTCTCAAAATTAACATAATAGTTGTCTTTCTTTCTAAATAGTGCCCAAATACTTTTAACATTAATAGGCGTATAAGCTGCTGTAAATGTTGCACTTGAACTATCTGTATTCTTTGAGAATGAACCGTCCATAGGAATCCAATCCATAACTTTAACAGGAAAACATAAAGCCTCGTTTGTATAATGTTCTACAAGTTCTGTATAAATGTTAGGGTCTAAAGAGAATGACTTTGGATGAATGAAACATTCATTAAAATCCATCTTTGTTCGAAATAGTTGCTGGGTTACAGTTGTAATAGTAACTGTTCCACTAGCTTCTACTGCCTTCGTTATCATAGTGAATGGTTCATTCCATGGAACAAATTTATTTGTCGGTGGATTTGAATCTGAAGCAAATGCAACTTTAAGAGTTGGATTGAAAGCAATGATATCATTTACAGATATAGATGTGCATTGTAAGGCGTCGCTACTGAACTTTACTTTAAGCTGAATGTTTCCTGCAAAAGCTGGAATAAATCGAATAGCTTCTAATGGAAGGAATCTTCTAACAGGAATTCTTAAACGAAGCTTAAAATCAAATGATTTTCCTGCTGTAATTGGACCACTAACAATTTGTCCTGTTCTGCATGTTCCCGAATGACTCCATACATCTTCATGTCGAGTCTTTGAGAAAACATCTACTTTCTTTATTTGTTCGGTAGTTTGTGAGTTTGAAGTTATATATGCTTCTTCTCTTGCGTTGTCTTGAGAATATACGATACGACCATTTGCAAGGATTTGATATCCAGCAACTGCATAGAAAGCGTCATCGAAACCAATCCAAAATCCTGGTGGGTTTGTTTTATTGGAACCTGAACCAATTTCTTTATCTGCAATAAATTGACCTTCCATTTTATACGTAATGAATGTATTGTAAAGGTCCAACATATTTTCACCAGGAGGTGAGAGATTGAATGTTACCCATGTGTTATCTTTAGCAGTTCCAGGTTGTGATGGAATCTTTGCGTCAGAATATTTTCTATTAGTGTCACCAATTTGAACTGCATTGTCTATGATATCGAAATATGAGCGAATCTGATGAATATGCTCTGCTGGAGTAAATTCGTTTAGCTGTTCGTTCTGCATGTATTTACTTCAGATAAAAATATCTATTTACTTCATTATTCTCACTCTTCTTCTTGGATTCGTGGTGGAAGTTGTTTCTTGACATTTTCAATGAACTGTACATTCTCTTTTGTCTCAACTTCTTTCACTGGCGGGTCAGGGTTCTTTGACTCGGTTTGTTTTTCAATGAAATTCACGAACTTTGCAATAAGCTCTTGGTTCGTTATTGAAAGAACATCTGGCTTCTTTTCTTCTTGTTCTATTGACTTTTCAGTTTGAACAGAAGGTTTTATATGGGCTTCGTGGACTTCACCCTTGCCATGCACCTTAATGTTGTCGCTCTCTGCATTCGCTAATGGAACCTTTCTTTTTCTTACATATATTTTACCATCTTTACTCTGACTTACATAATAGAAAGGATGTTGTATTCCTCTGCGTCATTTAATATAATAGACTCTCGTTCTGATTTTGACAAGCTCATTTTACATCGGTTAAAGTTTTAATTTAGTTTTTTATCTACAGTCAAATGACTCAGACAAGCCCTACGGACAAGACCCAAGGGGTCATAGATGTTGAAGCATTGAAGAAAGAAATTCGTGAGCAAATTTTATCCGAACTGAAGGAACAAAAACAAGAACAAAAGCCAGAGAGACCAAAGAGAAAACTTAGTGAAAAACAACTTGCTGCATTAGCTGCTGGAAGACAAAAGAACCCACGTTTGCTGGCAAAGAAAGCTAGAGAAGAAGCAAAAGCAAAGGAAGAACAAAAAGCAAAGAAGCTGAAGCAAAGAAAGAGTAAATGGTTTATTTTTATCCGAACTAAATGTATAGACAAATACCTTTATCTGTTGCGTTCAGTAGTGAAAACCCTGACGTCAAAATAAAGGGGAACAGAGTAACGTTTAAGTTTCCAACAGACTGGATTGTGAACATAAATGAAGAGAAGTACATTGGCATAACATCTATGTATATAACACGTGCTTTCAGAAAGTTGACTTTATACTTCAAGTCGAGATAGAAAATGACGAACAGTCTTTAAGCGCCCAAAACATTCACATATACAAATACTTTAAAGACGATACAACATTGTTGCAATGTATGATTTCATTTAATGAGATGTTCGAGAAAAAGTTCAACATTGAAGTACAAACTTTACAGCCTTTACGTGAGTTTCTTGCACAACTGAAAGAAGAAGGTAGTCAGCCACAACTTATAGACTTTCATTATGAATTTAATGAAAATGAAGATGGAACACATGACTGTCAATTCATTGTATTCTCACCATTCAATGAAGTCGCTAAAAGAAAGAAAATCCATTACGTATAAGATTTCAAATCTCCGAACCAAGTGATGATTTTAAGAATGTTTTCAATTATGATGCAATGCTTCCGAGGAAAAATGAATTTTCAAAGATTGTAACACCTGGCATTTGGGATAGAAAGCAAGCAATACTTTACTCTAATATAGCCAAAGGCGTTGAAAATGAGTTCATTGGTCATACAAGAACTTCACCACTTCCTAACCCTAAATACTATAAATTAACTGGCTTCAATCGTGAGTTTTGGATAGACATGTTCTCCACTCATGACCATAAATGTCCAGTGTTCTTGCCTCCAGACCATAAGGACTGTCTCTACATTGAAGCACAACTCTTAAACTCTACCATCGCAGTATTGTAAAATCTACGCTAGCTTTTTTTTATCACGAATGACCTCATTCATGACCTCATTCATGACCTCATTGCTGACAAAAATAAGCCGCTAGCGGCAAGGGCGAAGCCCATGACCTCAGAACTTCAACTTACGAATAAAGCTTGTTTTAGTCGTTATTGAAAAGTTGAACTTTTCAGCAAAGCAAGGTTGACATGACTTACATAAGTCGAATGCAATCTCTTGACCATCATAAAGTGCTTTGTAAAGTTTCATTAAACTGAACTCAGAGTCTTTGTCATATGTTCCAACAGGTATGTGAATGTTCTTATCTTCATTGTAATAGCATTGTATAGCTTCAGGAAACATTTCATTAGCGGTTAAAGCAATAACATCTTGCTTCACGCCTTTCATTCTGCAGTGAAATGCAACTTCATTTAAATCGTTAGTGAGTAAGTCTATGTAGGTCTTCTTTCCACAGAAAATACTTTTATAAGCTAAACTTTGTTTTCCAGGTGTTATTTCTGCAAAGTCGCTATGAAATTGACCAAGGTTCTTTCCTATAAGTTCGCGACCATATCTCTTCTTAAACTCTGCTGCAAGCTTTGGTATGTCTTCATTATATAAGTGCATACTGTCGGTATCCTGGTAAAAGATTTGAAGACCCATATCTTCAGCAGTACAGAATACTTCATTCATAATACGTTTTGACATAGACAGAATATTAACACCAAGTGGACAGAAGTTAAAGTGTCTGCAAATGCTTTTCGTTAGCTTGAAAATAGTTTTATCTGAACCATCCAAACCTTCGAACTTCACTATATGGTTGTAATTTCTTATAGCATATCTTATAGCATCTTTGTCATTTACTATGGTTATTTTTGACTCAATAGGAGATAGAATAGTTTTGCCATAAATGCTGTTCAGAATGAGTTTTATAATTTCTTGTAAGGGGTTTCCTTCTTTCTTATACTTTAACCTTAACTCAAACAACTTCTTTACTTCATCTCTTATTCTCATATCTCTGTTTCCATCGTAATAGTATCCTTGCAACACTTCACATTTGACATTGATATTTTATGAGGTCTTGTAATGTTATATGGTCAACATACATGAGACAGCAAGTGTTTGAACTTCTTGGAACGTTAAGTTCTGGATTTAGTTCAGGGTCGCAAACTATTAAATGAAAGTGTCTGGGTATACCAATCTCTGTTATCTTAATGAGAACAAAGAAGCCAGACATAAACTTTTCACCAATGGGTTCCTTTTGGTCATCATCGAATAAATGTCTCATGAGATACTCTGTGCTTAACATTTCTTCCTTCAATACTTTTGGAATACCTTCTAAAGTATAAAGTCTTGCTATAGCTGAAGGATATAATGAAACAGTGTCGAAGTCAGCAATGAGTTTCTTTTTGCTCTTTTGTTTCATGTTATCTGACAACATACATCTTCCACCTTGAATGCATCTCGAAATAAATTCTCTTGGTTTATTTGAGAGGTCATAAAGATTTCCATTCGGGAAGTATACTCTGTTCTCAAACAATTTGTTAGCAATAGAACAAATACTAACGTAGTCATAAACGTTTAAATCAAACTCTTTCAATAAGTCATTGCGGAACTTTACAAAACCTTCTCTTAAAATTCTTACATCTTGTTTGCAGTAAAACGTGCTATATTTTTCTAAGTCGAAGTGGTTTTCATCTATTCTGCAACCTTTGATGGAATCTATGTTTTTCATGAATGTATCTGCATCATGGATAAACTTACATGCTTCAGAAATGACACCAGTTCTGTTGTCATTTGCTAACAAAACACTGCTGTAGTAGTTATATGGAAATACTTCTTTCGGTCCTGTTTGTAAGTTAAACATAGCAGGAAATAGTTTAAGCTTCTTATTTATAACACTGTAAGAGTCTTTTATAATAATTGCCCGTCCTTTATATAAGCCAGTTATTTGCATTGTTCGTGAACCTTTAATGATGGGAGTTCCTTTCACTTCTGTCATGTGTCTTAAGATGAAGTTTATGTCATAACTGAGGTTATGGAAATATATTAAACTCTTGTCAGGAAGTCTTTCCAAAAATTCTGTTGCACAGTTTTGACCCCAAATGCTTTCACTAACTGAACCATCTTCACTGTCATAACAGATGTTAAAAGCTTTATGAAAGCCATCCGTACTACACTCAAAGTCAGCAAAGAAAACGTGCTCAGGTATGAATTTACATTTAGCTTTATTTACTTCTTTTGACTCTGCTTTCTTCTTCAGTTGTACACAATACTTTGGAGCATATGTCAAATCTTTAAATGGTGCAAGGTTCTGTTTATATAAGTCAGTCGTATATGTGAAAAGTTCTCCATAAGAAATAGGTTCGAAATATTTGCACTCCCACAA